TAAATTTCCGAATCCAAGTGTGAACCACACCTTCGGCAAAAGTGGATGCATGATGTCTTCGCTGCGTAAAATGTAAAGCCGTTGGTCTTGGACCAATCATATATGCGATTTAGGGAGGTTTGCAGTTGTCTCTCGATAAATCTCATATTACTAGACTGGCAGGAAATCTGAAAGTCATCCACATACAGAGAGTGTTNTCTGGGACCAATCATATATGCGATTTAGGGAGGTTTGCAGTTGTCTCTCGATAAATCTCATATTACTAGACTGGCAGGAAATCTGAAAGTCATCCACATACAGAGAGTGTTTCACACTGGGAGGAAGACAGTTAGCTATGCTGTTGATTTTGATTAGGAACAGAGTCACACTCAAAATAGAACCTTAAGGAACACCTTCTACTTGTGAAAAGAACCTAGATAAAATGTTGCCCATCCTAACTTGGAATCTTCGATTCTGTAAAAAGTTTTTTATAAAAATTGGCAAATCACCCCGCAATCCGAATTGGTACAGATCACAAAGTATCCCATAACGCCAACAGCGATCATAGGCCTTCTCTATATCAAAAAACACAGACACTAAGTGCAGTCGTCTAACAAACGCTTCGCGAATAGATGTTTCAAGGTTTACTAAGTTATCAGTGGTACTTCTGTTCCTACGAAAACCACTCTGATGTGGAGAAAAGTATTCGTTTTTCTCTAAGAGATACATTACACGTCTGTTTACCATTCTCTCAAATAGTTCACAGAGACAACTCGTCAGAGAGATTGGTCTATAATTAGAGGGATTCTTGCGGTCTTTACCTAGCTTGGGAATGGGAACAATGATAGATAGCCTCCAAGAGTCGGCAAAAGTATGTTCTGTCCATATTCTGTTAAACAGATTTAAAAGATTACGAAGGGAATTGTTTGACAGATTTTTAATCATGCTGTAATGGATTTTATCTGGGCCTACAGCACTATTCCCCTAGCAAGAGATCGTCGTATAAAGTTCTATGCTCGTAAATGGCACATTGTATTCCTCATTTGATGAGGAGTCAAAGTTTAAACACTGTTTTTCACTTTGGGTTTTATAAGCCTGAAAATTCCTAATAAACATTACATTGCTGGATGAAGAAGAAAATGTTTCACCCAACAAATTGGCAATACCCTGTATATCGCTGATTATTGTGCCATTATTTTCCAGCATGGACAGAGAGTGAGAAGCATATTTCCCATTAATTTTATGGATTTTATCCCAGACTGCTTTTGAGCTAGTGGAAGATGTTATACTAGAGACATACTTCCTCCAAGAATCCCTTTGGCTTTGCCTTCTTATTCTTCTGGCATTTGCCTTTGCTTTTTGAAAAGCAACCAAATTTCTAGCAGTGGGGTATCTTCTGAAAATCCCCCATGCTTTCTTTTGGGCTTTAAATACTGCCTCACAATTCTGGTTCCACCATGGTTTAGGATGTTTTGGATATCTAGTTGATGTCTTCCCCATTGTTTTTTCAGCTGTCTCAATAATACTGGAAATGACAACTTCAACTGCGTCATTAATATCAGCAATATTCACCATATCCTCCGTGATGTTGGCGATAGAAGAAAAAACAGGCCAATCAATTGTTTCCAATTTCCAGCGTGGTGGACGGGCTGTTTCACAGCTTTCTCTGCCTTGATATTTTAGAAATATTGGGAAGTGGTCACTGGAAAGTGGATTAGATCCAACCTCCCATGTAAACGCTGAAAATAGGTTCGGGGTTGCTAGTGATAGATCAATGGCAGTGAATGTTCTTGTTGGGTCATGGAAGTATGTCACTTCTCCCGTATTAAATAAATACAGTTGCTGGTTGCCTATAAATCTTTCAATGGTCCTGCCGCGACAATTAATGTCGAGACTGCCCCACATAGGATTATGGCCATTGAAATCACCTAGTAAAAGAAACGGAGTAGACAACTGTTCAACCAAAGCATCCAATTCATCCTCGTTCACTCTGACATCTGGTGGCAAGTACATAGAACAAACTGTGACAGTTACTCCGATTGAAATTCTGACTGCCACAGCTTGCAAATCAGTTGTTATTTGTAACGGCAAAAATGGGATGTGATTTGAAACGACAATAGCCACACCTCCACTGGCACAGTTGTGACTATCATCATCCTTGCGGTAGAGATCAAATCCTTTTAAAGTTCTATCTCCAGGTTTTAGATGTGTTTCCTGAAGTGCCACGCAGAGAGGTGAGGTATACGATGTCAAGTGTTTAATGTCAGAGAAGTTGTTGCGGAAACCACGAATGTACCATTGGATTATTTTGTAATCCATTATCTGTTTGAGGCAGCAGTCTTTGCAAAAGTGTCCCTCTTCAATTTTACTGAAAATTTTCCTTTTGAAGGGGAGGGTGGTTGGGTCCCCTCCATATTATTCTCTTCATCAGAAATATGAGAGAAGTCACTCATGAATTGAGTTTCTCATCTCTTTGATTTAGAGAGGGCTGCTTTCAATTTTTGTTTGTTCAGTGGGTTCTTATTTGTTTTTTTAAAACCCACATTTCTAGTTGTTACCCCTGTTTTAATTACAAGAGTTTTGGTCTTTGTGTTTGCAGTTTCTTCTGCTTGTGTAGGTGGGATCAGTAAACATCTCGCATGGCAAGTAAGAGATTCACTTGGTGATGCAGAAATATCTGTTTGAACTCCACATGTTTTCGTAGATTTCAGAACAGAAGCAAATGTTGTTTGTTTTAATATTGTTGTTTGAGTGACCATGCGGCAGGCTTCTGGGTATGGTATATTATTTGTGGTTTTTACCCGTTGAATCTCCTTTTCTCTCTGCCATGCAGGGCATTTCCTTGAGTAGGTAAAATGGGCATCTTTACAATTCACACAGCATGGACAATTGGTGCACTCGGTACTCTCGTGACCTTCAGTTCCATACTGTGCGCATGTGCTTTTCCCACGACAGGATGTTTGTGAATGTCCAAATCGCTGGCATTTGAAGCAACGCAGCGGATTTGGAACATACGGACGAATTGGGCAGCGCAGATAACCTGCTGTGATAGCAGATGGCAAAGTTGGTTTGTTAAAGGTTAAAATTAAATGTTTAGTAGGAATTAACTTGCCATCTCGACGAATGGAGATGCGTCGAACAGCAGTAACACCTTGATCTGAAAGACCAATCTGCATATCTGATTCATCCTCAGACATGAGATCAATTTCAGATATCACACCACGTGAAGAGTTCAAACTTGTATGTGGTGTGATGGTGACTTGTATGTCTCCTAGAGACTTCATTTTCAAGAGTTTTTCTGACTGTTGAAAGGAGGCTGTTTCCACAAGTAGATCTCCTAACCTCAATTTTTGGATTTTTTTAAGGTGCCCAATGGTCGACTCAAAAAGTTTCTGGATTAAAAAAGAAGAGCGTTTAGACAAAGGTGTTTCTCCTGTAGCGTAAACAATAAGGTAAGTTGGTTGATTGGAGGAAGTGACCTCCTTTGGTGGCAGTACATTGGTAGATGTTTTAGATTTTGAAGAATCCATATTTAATAATAACAGTTCAGCTCCTGGTGACCCCACCCACCATGGGGCCCAACAACGGGATGCCGTCACATGGGAGATTCCCATAGACAGTCACACCAGGGTTTCCCAGGAGCTATACCCTCACAATGCAGTCAAGAAGAGCACATCTTGTCTGACGTGTCCGCCCGGTCTGCATCGATCAGTTGACTCCAAGCAGAGGTCAAGAATGACTCAACGACCAGCCGATTGACTCAAACGGAGCCTGATTTGAGCCTCCCGTTTATCCGAAGCAAGGGCCAAAGCAGTGTGTTGGGGACGGTATGTTGCCCCTCAACTACCAGGATCCCCCTTTCCGGCANGTCGCGAATGCCGACATCACCCTTCTAACGGCCTATCTTTGTATTTCTCTTTTGAGCTATAATATGTAACCATTTAGTCAATGTTCTTATTAAACTATTCGATAATTTAAGTGAAAGTGATTACTCGTACATTGCCGACACCCTATCGACTTATCCGCGATCTCTCCATCCATTGACCACCTGAATAGGCCTCACCGTCCTGCCGTCGGAAACGGTTTAGGCGGCGGCGCATAAACCCCGATCCTCACATAATCGACCAACTTAACCATGTAGTTGAGTCTGTAAAAAGTTCATAGAAATTCCGTATAAATGAACTGCAAAATTAACTTTGTATTTTTAAAATACATCGAGTTTTGGCTCAGATGTCTTCTAAGAATTTTGTATAGTCTGTACTGACTACAGTGTTATGATAGGTAAAATTAATCAAAATTATCATCTTTTTACAAATTCCAGCAAATAATTTAATATTATAAACGTTTTCGATCATCTTTAGCGATCACCATCAGTTAAAAGAACATTAAAATTAGAACGAAAATCAAATTTACGAAAAAATAATAACTGCGCATGCGTAATAATGAGTGCTTAACGGAATGAATACAAAAAGTTAGGGATATAAGACTAAAAGTAAATAAATAAAAAATAAAGAGCTCAACAGTTTCTCATTATAAATTAATGTTTCGTAAAAATTATAGGTTATCTTCATAGAATGATTTCCATGCTGTGGATAGAGAGTGGGCGTCCCTATGATTGATACAAGTAGTTTTCGCTTGTGCTTTATAAATCTCTAATTTTTCGAGATGTTTGATGGAGTGCTTGTTAGACGTGGGTCTAATGATGGAAGCTTGGTCCCATATGACCTCAATTCCTTGCTGGTTGGCGTAAGATGCTAAAACGGTGCTATCGTTGTTCTTTCTAATAGAGTATTTATGTTCTTTGACTCTTTGTTCCAAGCTTCCCAAGTAGCACCTATATAAACACTATCTGAATTAAAGAGACAGTCTTTAATTGGTATGGAGTAAATACCGAAGGTAGTGATCTGGTTGTCATTCTTTTTATCATTTCTTAGTTTATTATTTGCTGGAATTTGTAAAAAGGTGATAATTTTGATTAATTCTTTCTAGTTCCAGTACAAATTATTATTTTTATTGTACTCATGGCATCGCCGGCCAAATTTTATAGAAAGCTAGTTCTTAAGTTATACAAAGCAAGAGCTAAACATGAATTTCTAGTACAGTGCCGCATCAATAGGGCGTTTCCCGTGTCTATTTACAGGATACATCTTCCTGTTGGATGTGAATCGCTGTTACCTAAGCTTAAAGTTTTGTGTATCAACAAAGCTATTAGAACCACAAGAAGAAGTACCTATGCTATCTTGCATAAGATTATAAAAGTAGAGAATGAGCTTTTTACACAAGACCCAGAAGTATTAAAAGAAAACAATCTATGGGTAATCAGTCTTGCACAGAAATATGAGAGTAACTTAAAAAGAAATTACATCAAAAAACTTAGATGGATATTCAAACAACAGAACATAAAGCCTTCACCTAATGTTAAATCACCTGTCACTACCTGGGACAATGTTGTGCCTCCTTCATGCGTATTAACTGCATTAAAGTTTGGTCCTCTCTATGCACCATCTTCTACACCAACACCTGAAAACATTATCCCTGACACAGAACAAGCTATCAGAGGTTTGAACAATACTACACAAGATTATTTCCGCTGGAAAACACGTTTCCTCATATCCAAGGAAAGAAAACGAAGATCTAATAAGAATAACAATCATTTCATATCGGTTATAAACAAAGCACGCATATGGTTACTAAAGAACATCATCGTTTTCATGAAAGCCGACAAAACCAAGGAGATTGTACTTGCTAAACGCTCTTCTTATAACAAGAAATTACAAGAGTATATCACGGGTACCGAGTGCTCACTAGCACCTGGAAACTACAAGGATTCCCTTCAACGAAGAGTTATAAAATTCACATCAACACCCTTGGTTCGACTTTTGCACATGCAGAATGCTACAATCTCTGCACCAAAGAATCCCAGAATTTTCGGCTTTGCTAAAACACACAAACCAGGATACAACATTCGGCCTGTCATAGAGAAATGCAGTTCTCCAACATTTCTTATTGAAAAGCAACTAGTTAACTTCATTCGTTCCAAAGAAAACGTCCACCCATATACCATCACTAATGCGCTGCAACTAATAGAGAAGCTCAAGGATATTGATCTCAAAGATAATGAATATATGACGGTCATGGATTTTGATTCATTATATTGTAGTGCTCCGCAACATACTGTTATTCTTATTATTGTATATAAATATAATTTGCATAGTTATTATCATTTGTACTAGGTTTAGCTTTTACTTAATTCAATTGTGTCGGTTTTTTTTTTGTTTCTTCTTTGTGTTTGTAGGACACGTGTACCCCTTCCCTTTGTTGAACCCAAACCTTTGTGATTGGCCAACGAAGAGGTCAGGTAGGTTTGGAAACCCAGGGGTATATATAGCAAATACGTATGTGATGCCAGGAGTTTTTGGTTCTTGTTCCTGTCGTCTGTGGTAGATCGTCGATCGTAAAAGTCATACAACGCCATTGAGAGAAGGAGAGACTTACCGAGTAGAAGGGGACAGAATCGAAGTGCATCCGTGCTGTACGCAAAAGGGACCGAGTGAACTTTACAAGATACGAAGCTATACTACCCGATACATTGACGGGAACATATATTTCCCGAATAGGAAGAGACTTTGGTCCAACACCTGACCGTTTTTCAAGTGCCGGATTCTCCTAGTGAGTAGTCTGTTAAACGGATTCGTTCTTCGCGTGTTAATGTAACGGGTCTGGCCTGTGTACGCTAAAATAATTGAAAAGGGAGGAAGGAGAGTGAAGGGGTTAGGTGTTTTGTATTCGGACACGTGGTATTGTAACTTAGGTTTTGTTGAGAGTTTGTATGAGCCCTCAGTTGTAAACTCGAAACCCGTGTTGAATAAAGAAATATTTTTGTAAGCCGGCTATATATATATATATGTTTTTTTGTCTCAGCTTGATAGACTTCGGTCAAGCTTCAACATAACAATATCCATCTATAAAACTACCACCATGTTTCTGTGCCCTAAGATACTTTATGCTTAACAACATAGAGAATTCTAAAAAATACCGTAAGGACATTCTGGAACTCACAGATTTAATCAGTTACACATCCTTTTTCGAATTTAATGGAAATATTTTCCTACAAAACAGGGGAGTTCCTATGGGCAGCCCTATGTCGCCCATACTTTGCGATCTGGTTTTATGTCAACTAGAAAATTCTTTATTACCGAAATTGAAGGAAGAAGTCATTCTTTATTCTAGATACGTTGACGACGTATTTATTCTTTGGAAAAATAATATCAACGTCCTTGCTTTCTTAAATATCAACGTCCTTGCTTTCTTAAATAACATCAATAATAATAATTACGGTTTAAAGTTACGCCTAAACAAGGAAAGCTTTACTAATGTCCATTTCCTTGACGTCAACATCATATGCAAAAGAGGTGAAATATGCACTAACATCTACAGAAAACCGGGTCTAAATAACATCATCATACCATATAATTCAATGGATCCTAGACACTTTAAATATGCAGCTTTCCGATCGTGGATCAAACGAGCCTTTACTCATTGCACAGATATACTTGATACTTACA